GGATCAGGGTCAGAGTTCAGGTTGGGACCAGATTGAGGGCTCGGTGTATGGATCAGGGTCAGGATTCAGTCTGTCACAAGAATAAAGCCTTAATATATGTCCATGATCAAGACTCAGTCTGTGCCCAAGTCAAGGTTCAGTCTTTGATAAAAGATCAGGGTTTAGTCAATGCACTGAGTCAGAACTCAGTCTAAGATCAGGATCAGGATTCAGTGTAGCGACCAGGCAGGGTCAAGGCTCAGAGTGTGACCAGATTTAGGTTAGGACTCAGTATGGACTGAGGTGAGGGCTCAGTCTAAGATCAAGGTGAAGGTTCAGTCTCTGACCGGACTCAGGACTTACCTGTGACCTTGATAAAAGCTGTCTTTGTCCAGAGTCAGGCCTCCTGCTATAATGTCAGGTTTCAGGGTTGGAAGTGTCAGTAAATCTGGGTGACTTAACACCCCCTACCTCTTATATGCCCAATTCCTTGCTCTCCCTCTTCCTCGGGGCATTGGCCCACACAAGGGGAAAAGGCAAAGTTGTGCAGCCTGGCTGGGCTGAGCGGACTCTATCCCCTGTCATGTGCCCAGGGTGCCCTCTGGTGGCACTCCTTAGCAGTGCCGATTTCCTCAGGCTTAGCCAATCTATAGGGCCATTTCCTACTTTTGGGAGCCTGGCCCTCAAGCACATCCATCATTGCCCATCTAGCCAGCTCTATATTCCTGTATCACCCTACCTCCCACAAAGAAGCAGAAAACAGGAATTGGTCTGTTCAGGGGAACTCCCACACACGTAAGGAGATTTTTCTCCTTTTCTGCCCAGAGTGGGCATCTTAATAATACCCTATACCCGGAGACCTCTGGTCTTAGCCGTGGGATAAGATCCACACCTTTTACTCATTCGGTCATTCAACAAATATCTAATGCCAGGTGAGTACTTGAGTGCAGAGCAGAACTGCTAATCTTCTGGAGCTCACATTCTACTCACTTCTCCCGAATCCCTAACTCCTAGGCCACAGACCTCATCAGAAAGGCACTTGTGTCAGCAGAAGGTTGGGTGAGCTTCATAGCTCGGCAACTCAGGGCTCCTTCCCTCCTCTAGATCCAGAGGTTTCTAGACTATTCTAGACTATTCTAGATTCTGAGTTCTCTGTCTTCACCTCTCCTCAGTTGCCTCATCTAGACTCATGGCTTCCCCACCACCCATATGCCAGTGGCTTTTAAATTCGTATCCTTTTTCCGGAACTCAGGCTTGTGTCTCCAGCAACTTCAGGACAGCTCCACTGGGTTAACAGACCTTTCATCTTACCACAGCCCTGGCTCTTGCCCCACTCTATGCCCAGCTGCTCAAACCAAAATTCTAGAAGTTCCTCCTAGATTTCTCTCTTTCACTCCTCTTGAACTTCCCCAACAGGGAGACCTCAAAAATGGGTGTAGAATCTGTCCACTTCCCAGCCACCACTCCAGTCCCAGCCCCCAGCATCTCTCACTGCAATAACCTCCCAACCTGCCCCCCGTTTTCTCTCTTGCCCCTCAACACTCTATTTTCCACACAGCAGGCAGAGCGATCTCTACAATCATAAATCAGACCACGTCACTTCTCTGCTTAAAACCCTCCAGTGGCTCCACTTCACTGAGAATAAAAGCCCAACCCTGTGCCCTGGCTTACTAAGCTGTACATGAGTTGAGCAGCATGCCCCCTCCCTACCCTCCCCAACTGCATCTCCCACCCCAGTCCCTACAGCCCTTCTTTCTTGACCGGACACACAGAGGCAACGTTCATTCTCACCTTAGGCCTTTAGCACTGGCCATTTCCTGAGTTTGAAATGTTCTTGCCCTAGACCTGTGCATGGCTGACTCTTGTCAGTCAGAGCTCAGCTTAAATGTCACCTCTCAGAGAAGACCTCCACAGCCACTCAACAAGTCCGTTATTGTGATTTGCTGCATGGCACTTCCACTAGCTAATATTTTTTGTCTTGTTTACTTACTTACTTACTTGTTTATTTTCTGTCTCCTCCAAGTAGAATGTAAGCCCCTCCCAAACCCGGTCAGAGCTTGCTTGCTCACCGCTATATTCCCAGTGCTGGACACACAGCAGGGCTCAGGAATTGTTTAATTAATTAGTAAAAAATGGTCCTAAGTGGCTGCCCTCATTTCTTCCAATGGAAGAGAGGGAGGAGATCCGAGTTCCCAGCTCCTTAGTGGGCTCCCCCGTCCCACACTATCAGGAATTCCCTCTGGGAAGTGGGGCTCACCCAACCACCCCTGAGCCCTGAAGGCCCCAGGAAGCACCCCTCCTTTCAGATGGACCAGCTTTGTGTTCTGCCCTGCAGCTCCTGGACTTCTGAGGACAGGCCCCGGCGACTCAATTCTCAGAATCTCAGGGAGGGAGTGGGGGGTATGGCCCTCCTCCCCGCGCCCCTCTGCGGTGTCCCTGCAGGAGTCACTCATCTTCGCTCAAATTCCTCGAGGGCACAGAGCTTGCTGCCTAGTGCTATCAGAGTTGTGTCCTCACTTTCTACAGACCGGCCCCCTGGAGCCTGCCTGAGACGGGCCTGCAGACGAGTGGGAGCACAGCAATAGTCCAGCTCTGTGTGAGAGAGAGGGATGCTTCCAGGCCTCGCTGGCTCCTCAGGGGTGGACTGCCCTAGAAGGGCTGAAGGAGTGTGAGGGGGAGAGCCCTGGAGTAGCAGGCCTGGAAAGGTACGAGGGTGGGGGGGTGAGGGCTGCTAGGGCTGGGTGATCGCAGAGTGGACCCTGGGGTGTGGAGACTATCTCCTGGTGTGCCTGGGGGGGGGGGGAAGGGGGCACAGATGGGACAAACGATGACCTTCCGCTGGGGGTGGCCGTGGAAGGCAGACTCCAGGGAGCGCATCCCCCATTCTATTCACTCACACCATCCATCTGTGGCCCACTGCCTTGAGCGCTTAGCACATGCTCACTCTTCCTCCCCAGCAGCCAGACTCCCAGACAGGATCTGGAAGTCTTCTTTGGCGGGGAGAGGAGGAAGGAGCCCTGGTGATGTAATTCTGCCAGCAGGTGGGAGAGGGGTTGGGGCTGGGCCTAGTATACCAGGGCTAGAATCTGGGGTGCCTCCTCCTAAGGAGGGTGGCTCAGGCCACCTCCGGAGGCAGCATCAGCAGTGGCCCCTCTCACCTCCTGCTCTACCAAGGCAGCAGCAGATGGCGTGTGAGGCTGCAGACCAGTGATCCAGAAGAGACGAGACAGGACTGAAGCCTAAGAAGGCAGCCTTCCTTGCGTGTGGGTGTGTGAGCGTGTGTGCGCGTGCACACACATGCACGCGCGTGCACACATGGTGGGGGTGGGGAAGTGCTCTGCAGAGAGGTCATGAGCTCCAGGGGCTGGATGCTTCAAAGGTTAGGGCGCATCGATCCCTGTGAATTAATAGAGATGACCTGCTTAGCACCTATGGAGATAGATCCTCTCTTCTCCAAGTCAGCGGGCAGGGAGTGAGCAGGAGAGGCAGAGGCAGAGAGACGGTCAGAGGAAAGGAAGGGTCAGAGACAGAGAGGGGGTCAGCCCTTCCCAGCGCTGGTGGGAAGTCCCAGACCAGGCCAGAAGAGCAGTAGAGCCCACCCTGGAAACAAAAAGGGAGGCCGATGAAGCCAAAGGTGGATGGGCAGGGTGTCATGGCCAACAAGGGGTCCACCACCATCACTGAGCCCCGCTTTTCTGGGGCCCTGCAGTGAGAGGAGGGGCTGGCCCAGGACTGCAGTACCACCCCTCCCTGCCCCAGGCCCCAGGAACCTTGCTTCTTCCTGTGAGGCAGCTTCCCTCCCCCTACCAGATGCCCCGGCCCGCCTGGGCAGAGCATAGGGAGGCCAGGAGAAAGCTGTAGGCTTTGCAGAGCCCTGGGGAGCCCTTCTCTCAGCCTTCTCACTGGGTGACTCACCCCTTAACCACCACCACACACACCCACACACACTCTCACATTCATGTGTGATGTCGGACAGTGTCACCCAAACACTCCCACGCTCCCCATCTCATACATGTAGCCAGGCAACCCCACGCACAGACACACTCATTTATTCATCCAGGCCCCAATCTCTCACGCCTGTTCCCACGGATGTTCACAGTCACATGCTCTGCTCCCCTGGGGTCCCCTTCCCCGTCTCCAAGAGGGGCTGATGCTAGGCAGATGAAGCACTGGGCTGGGAGGACCCCCAGAATCAAGGGTGCTCAGCCCAAAGCTCTGCAGTCAGCCCCTCCCTCCGGGCTGCACCATCACAGAGGACTTGACTCAAAAAAGGTGCTTTATTGAGGAGTGAGGCACATCGGGATGGCACAGTGCAGATCACACTGAGTGAGGCCTTCCTGGTTGGAGGACCGCGCTCACCATTCACCCCTGTTTGTGCTTCACCTGCAGCTCCCCCTGCTCTACCAGTCAGTGAGGTGCTCAACCCGGCTCCATTTTAGGAGACTACCCTGGCTCAAATCAGGACCCCTCCCCCCCATTAATCCCAAAAGATCATGTTGGGGGTAGAGACAAGGAGGGCAGGGAGGAGCAGAAGGGGCAGCTGGTGGCCTTTCACAGTGTGTAGGGACAGGAGACAGCCCAGGCTGACATTCCTCCCTGCCCCTGCTTCCCCCCACCCCTGGGGTCAGGGGCCTTGCTGGGGAGTTCGACCCTCTCAGAGTGGCTCCGTTCACAGTGCCCACGTGCCATGGGTGGTGGCGGTGGTTGTGTGAGGGATGGAAGGTCGGGGGGGGGGCCCATTTCATCGAGTCTGGGGAGTGAGGTAAAGTAAGGCCCAGCCAACCCCACTTAAAGGGCCAAGGCACTGCTCCCTCCTTTGGTGAATGTGCCTCCTCCCTGTCACATTCTCCCTTCCACAAGTTCCAGACGTGGGACAGATGAGGCCACCTGTGCCCAGCATCGGACCCATATGGAAACATTTTCTCTTTTCTTTTCCTTCCTCTCTCCCACTCCTCTTTTTTCTTAAGTGGCACCGAACGGAGGGCGCCCGGACGGGGAGTCAGGGCCCGGCACCGGCTCCGCTAGGGGGCGACGCGCTCCCGGGGCAGGTTGAGCTGGACTCCTTCGGAGCGCGGCACGTAGACGGCTGCGGGCGCGGGGGCGTCCAGGGCGAAGGGGCCGGGGCTGGAGCGGCCCGAGGACGCGGCCGAGGCGGCAGGGCTGAGCTGCACGGCCGTGGTGTCCTGCGCCGTGCGCTCGCTGCTCTCCATCTCCAGCGCCACCGGCCCGCCGCCGCCGCCCCGGCCCGGGCCCCAGGCCGCAGCCGAGCGCGGACCGGGCGCGGGGCCCCGGCGGCTACACGCGCAGCAGACGGCGAAGCAGCCAAGCGCCAGCGCCAGCAGCGCCGGCCCCACCACGAGCGGCGCGTTGCTCCGGGGCGGGAAGGAGGCGAAGGCGCCCACCAGCGTCACGTTCACTCCCGCCAGCAGCACGCACAGGCCGCAGGCGCAGAACAGCGCCGGCGACGGCAGTCCGGGCAGACGGCCCCGAGCGCGGCTCGAGGGCGCCCGGGCCGCCGGGCCTCGGCTGTTCTCCGGGGGCGGCATGGGCCTGGGGCCGCCGGGCACGCATCAGGCTCCGTCCTGCCGCCAGCCTGGCCCCGCCCGCACGGCGGCGCGAGCTCACGGTCGTCCTCGTCGTCCTGCGGGCACAGAGCGGGAGGGACGGTCAGCGGGGCATTCGGCTTCCACCACTCTCGGCTCTGTGGCTACGTTCAGTGCCCGGCCAGCCCCTAGCCTCTGCCTCAGGGAAGCACAACCCATCCTGTATGGGAAGAGTCTGCCCAGCGTTTCCCCACTCAGGCCCCGGGGTCTCTGGTGGCCATCCTCTCTCGAGTGCTCCAGACAGACACAGCTCCTCCACCTCCTCTCCTCCAGGAAGCCTTCCTGCATTAATTAAATTAAGCGAGTGAATGCCTGTAAGGCGTTCAGCACGTGACTAGGTGCTCATCAAATGATAATCATCCTGATCAGTAGTCCTAATTAGAGGGCAGATATCAGCTCTTGAATTTAGACAACTTCCTCCATCCCCCAAGTGGAAGAAGCCTTAGAAATCATCTGCTCAAGCCCCTCCTTGTCCAGATCAGGAAACTGAAGCCCAGAGAGGTCTAGCAATTTACCCAAGAGTCAGGACCAGGACCTAATGACCTTGCTGCCTGGCCTGGGTGTCCTCGCCCTAGGCTCTGGTAGGCACGGCAGTGACATTAAATTTTCTGAACATCAGATGAAGCCCTGGAGTGAGGGGCCATGTGAGAGTGAGGAGCCCTGAGGTTTCAGATGGCCAGTGAGAAGGGACAGTCTCTACACAGGCTGGAGCAGACCCAAGATCCTTTGTAGACTGGGCTTTGTATTAGATTCCAACCCTACCCCCATCCCACCCCCAGGATTCTACTATTGAACCTGGACTTGAAAGCCCAATCACTGGGCGTTAGAATTCCCTTCTAGGATTCTCTGTTATATCTGGTTCTGGAATCTACCACTGGATTCTAGAATTCTGGGAGTGCATGCAGAAACAAGGGTAATGTAATTAGAATCTACAGATTTATGACTTCTGAGAATTCTGTTCTAGAACATGAAATCACAGGTATAAAGGCCCTCAAAGGATGAGATCATAGCTATGGAGCTGTGTTAGAACTGTGGAAAAAACATCAGAAAAGGGCTCTGAGTGGGCATGAGAGAGGAGTAATAGGGTAGTGGTACCACCGGGGAGCAAAGCCTGCCAGATGAGCAACTGAGCATGACCTGGACAAGTGGCCTCTCTGTGCTTCGGTGTGAACACCTATAACAGAACCTATCTCATAGGGTGTAGTGATAATTAAATGCTTTCAGCTGAATCAAGTGCTTGGAACAGTGCCTAGAACATAGTGAGAATTCAATAAATGTTAGCCATGTTGTCATCGTGGTGGTTGCCAGAGAAGGGGCCAAAAGGTCTCAGATCTGGAGAGGCTCGTCAGAGTTTGGAAACAGAACAGTTGATCTATCCCCCAGGTCATGCTCAGCCTCAGGGCTGAGACCTGGATTGTCCTTCCTGAGCGTCCAAAGCCTGCACACTGTGGAGCCGGAGAGAGTCTGATGACTGGGTGGGTGAAAGCGAAGGCTAGTGCCAGGGAGGGACAGCACATTCCTCACTCGGGAGAGCCTTTCTTTGCCTGGCCTCTCGGTTTGCAGTACCATCTAATTTAGTTTTTACAGCATGAGATTAGGTATTTCTGTTATATCCCCATTCTATAGATGAGTATATTGAAGCACAAAAAGATTAACTAAATTCCCCCAAGACCTCTGAGTGGCCGTGGCCATGTCAGGACTCGAAACCTGGTATCCAGGCCCTGCAGCCTGAGCTCTCAGCCTAGCCTCGGGCTAGGTTTGCTAAATGCTGGTGAAGTGGCTGGAGCCGGGAGCTGGAACTCTCCTCAGGCCCTGTAGATAAGCTCTTGTATTCAGCATTTACACTGCTCAAATGTCAACAACAGAAGAGGGGGCTGGCGTGTTGTGTGCATCTCTCCAGATAGGTAAACTCACTTTTCTCTTTCCTTGGCTTAGCATACTCAGTGCAACACAGGCACTAAGCAACGGCTTCAGCTTCCAAGGGCTAATTGCCAATGAATGTTTCTTATCTGCTCCTGGATAAAACTACTCCCGGAGTCCCCACCCGAGGCAGGGATAGGGCTCAGGGCCGGTGGGTGTGTCCACCCTGGCTGATTGGGAGCTGTGGTGCAAAGGGCGGTCCGCAGTTCAGTTTGGGCCACCATCTCCCTCGGGCGGACTGCAGCCCTCCAGCCGGGGCTGTTGCAACGCTGGATACTGTCCTGCAGCAGATGCTCTGGCAGGCTCAGTGGTGGGGTGTCACTGGTGCTGTTCACCAGATCTTTTTGGGTCTCCCCGTTCTGAACACGTTACGATTGCACTTCCTGGCCAATTTGTGATCATTGGCCACTTGAGTGGTTCTGGCCAATGAATTGTATGGTGCAGCACTTGCCCGCTCTGTGGCTTCTGGAGTATTTAATTTCAGAAGCAGGAACCTTTGAGATGATGCTCTTGCTTTCCCGAATCCTTCAAGCCTTTCTACTTCATCCCAAGCCCAGCCCTCGACCTCAATGCCTGAGCAGGAAGGAAGAAGGTCATGGCTCTGAATCTTAAGTTGTTGGGACTAGAACACGCCTTCGCTTTAGTGAGCACTCCAGGCTGCTGAGCTGGTAGAAATCACCTAGTTCAATCTCTTCCTCTATGGATGGGGGAAACTGAGGCTTGGAATGAGAAAGCTCAGGGAGGGAGTCTGTGGCCCAGGCCTGACCAGAACCATGCTTTCCTCCCCCAGGAAGGACCCTGACCACTGTCATTCAGCGGCCCATGACCCCGATCAAGCAGTCAGCCTCCCTGCTGCCCTGCCTCTGGCAGGAGAGGCCTTGTGGTCTCTGTTTGGGAGTCTAGGCTGGAAGCACTTTGGGGCAGAGGCAGACACTAGAGGCTAAGCCTCAGATGACCAAGACTCTCGACTTTGGTTTGGGTGTGCAACTTGGGAGGTGGGGCCCCTCTCTGGGCCTCAGCAGTCAGAATGCAGGGAAAGGTTTAACCGGGTCGTTGTCTCTGAACGCCTCAGCCTGCTGTCTCGCTCACCTACCTGCGGTTTGTGGACGTGAAAATGGGAAACTGCTCAGAAATTACTGTCAAAATATCAAATGGTTTCTGAAAAACGGTACATTGATCTGTGATACGGCTGTTTTGGGTTGGGATTAGGTCACTCCCCTGAGAAGCCACCTGCTGCCCAGGGGTTCTGGTCCCTCTCTAGTGACTCTGTGCTAAGCACTTTTCCTACACGAATACAGTCAGTCTTTCCTACCACCCCGAGACGGGCTGCAGTCCTGAACCCAGGATGCCGTGAGGAAACCAAGGCTCACAGAGGGGAAGGAACTTGCCCTGGTTTACTCCGCTGTAACCAGTAAAGCTGGGGTTCAAACCCAGGTCTGTCAGACTGAAAAGCCCATGTTTCCCCTACACCAGAATTTCCGCTTATGGGAAGGTACAGAGATGTCTGACTATTTTTAAAAAATATAGTAATTATTACTATCCAGCTAATCATCAACAAGCTTGGGGCCCAAGGAGGGTGGTCCTCAGTAGGGGGAGGCGAGAGCCCCTGGAAAGGGGAGTCTCCGCCTGAAGCCCCTTCAGGTCAGCTGGCCAGCCCCGTGCCCCCTGCCCAGTCCGTGGACCTGGGAGGTCCGTGTTCTGTAAGAGCAGCTGCTTGACCAGGGGCAGCTGCCAGGCCTCCCGACCCCAGGGTCCTGCTCCAAGCGCTCAGGAGCCTCTGGGCGAAGGGGCTGGGGCTTCCGTCCAGGCAGCAGCTGCTAGTCCCAGCCCCTGTCCTCTGGGTGGGATCGAGTCCCTTGTTTGCTCCGTCTGGCTCTTTACTCCGCACTGTGAATCCCTCCACTCCCCCTCATCTTAGCCCTTCTCTTCCCCCTCAGCTCAAAGTCTGGGCCAACGCTCAGGCCCCCAACACTTCTAGCATGCTGTCTATCCCCAGCCTCAGGGAACCTCCCACACCACCATTGCTCAGGGCTGGCTTATTCACTCCCCTGCAAGCTCTCAGCTTCTGCCCGCTGAATTGTGCCTCCCCAGAGCCCACGGAGCTGCTACCACCCCCACCCCAGTCCATTCCACAGGCCACCCCTGCCCCCTCACAGATTCCCCAGGCTGGAACTAAGGCTTGAGGATGAAGTCTGAAGGTGTGGCTTCCCAGCTCCTGCATCTGACTCCTGGGCCCCATCATCCTAATCCCTGAGCGCCTGTGCGCGCGCACACACGCGCACATGCACACACACGCACGCGCACACACGCACACACACGCACGCTCAGTGAGCAGACATACCCAGAAATACAAGCACAGATGCCGGACACTGAGAGGGCTGCAGACACAGGCCAGCACACAGACAGCCCCTCTCTCAGCGGCCTGCCTAGCCAGTGGACATGCCGCTGCCCAGTAGAGGCGCTCTGGAGTTCTCCACCTGGCAGTGTCGGGGGTGGGGGGGGGGTGGAAGGGGGCAATTTGGTGGTAAGCAGAGCTGGAGCCTATGAGAGGGGTAATGGGACTTCCATTCTAGCTGCTCCCCTTTATCGTGGGTCCCCATGCCTGCAACAGGCAAGGTCCTTGAAGCTCCCCTCCCTGGGGCTCGGGTTTGGTTCTGGGAAAGTGGGAGTTCGGTCTAGATGATCTCTGCCAGCCTAGCAGGCTCCAGCTTCCCGCACAGCTGAGGGGCCCCGGGGACCCTGGGACTCTTGCAGTGATCACAGCTCTGTGGTCATCAGACCAAGTCTGCACCGCGGCAGGCGACGGTGCTCCTGGCTGCCCCGGGCCTCCTGCTCTCGTCCAGTCTGCCCCGGTGCTCACTGACTTGCCCACCAGAGTCCTTGGGCCACAGCCCCCAGCAGGGGCCGTGTCTGTGGCCAGACTTGGATCTCCAGCCTCAGTCTGGGCCTCTGCCTCCCCTCCACACAACTCAGCTGCCTGGAGCTAGTGGGAGGGGTGGCGGGAGGGACTGCGGGCCGCCTGG